GGGAAAGAGATATTTTTTCTACTGCTTAATATTCTTTGAATCCATCAATAATATGAGAAGGGAAAAAAAAAGATTGTTCAACCTCTCCAAATGGCCTCCAGAATCATTCCAATGCAGTTGATCCACAATGGGTTTTACCAGGTGGCGAAAATATCCCTGGGATAGAAAAGGGGAGGGTTGGTTACTTGTGTAGATTTCTTTAAATAATAATATATTTGTCTTCACAGTTTGTTCTCCTTGATTTTTCCCAGAACTAACATCTCTTAAACAAAAAAGCAACATAAACATGCATATGCACAATCTTTCCAGATCACCACAGCATGCCAAGTCTGAACATTCGCAATACAGATGCGCAAATAGGAGAAAGGCAGCCTTCTTCTATCCAGCCTTGTTTGGGCTCCCAAGTGAAGTCTGGGTTGTGGCAAGGACACACTGCCACAGCTGTTTTTTCCAGGGATAATACTGAGTTCAGGACATACTTATTTTGGTGACCATTAAATCATGTTCAGCATGTTAGGTCAACAAACAAACCTGTTCACTGCCACATTGAGATATAGCCATCCTTCATGCTGAAGACACGTGTCAGAGATTTTGCTGCTCTGTACATGTGTCTTTATTTGATGCAGGACAGCCTTGACTAAGAAATGTCTGTACTGTGACTTATGGTGATGGATTACAGGAATAATTAGGATCGTAAGAATAATTAAGCATAATTTCTTTCCTCCAAGTGTATAGTCCCGAACTGAGAATCCAGGTAATTCAGAGATCAGTACTAAGCAGTTTTCAGCAGTTTTAAGAGTATAGTGATAAAAAGTAAATACTGATAGCTCAGCAACACTGAAAATCACTTGAATTTCAATATTATTGCTGTTACAGGTCCTGAACTGTCAGATTCAGTGGTCGCATGCGGGAATGTTTTTTTGCTTCATCACCTGAAAATGAGGATAGAGATTCGTATCATCTTCAAGCATGTTTGCAAGGTAAGTTACAGATGATATAACTCTATGCCAAGGTAAATAGTCACTTTCATTTGTTAGGTATTTTGTGAGCTCCAGGGCAACAGAGTAATTCACAAGTCCAGCTCTGTGGAAGGAGAAAACATAACTCCTGTTATTTTAGTGAACTTGAAGAATTTGCTTCTTTAAAGATATTAGTACACTATTTACTTTATAAGATCAGAGACAATAAATTTTGGGAGATGGAAAATAGTCTGGAATGTAACTTGGGAGGGGTTTCCCAAAGAAACCACTGAGTATCACTGTGGTCAATGCCTAACTGCAGGAGCTTTCACTGCCATGAGGAGGCTGTTCACTCTGTGCAGGAGTGCACCCAGAAGTGGATAGCCCTCAACTGACCACGTTAATTTCTGGCACACAAAAAGGACTTGGTAGTTCTGGAGACATTTTGAAAGGGTGAGAATATTCAGACTTACAGGCTGTCACAGAAGGTCGCCTAAAGTTTATCTCTATCAGCATGGCTCGGTACAAGAGCTAGATGTTTCCAAGCAAGTTTCTAAACAAGATAGCTGAGGTGGTAACTTCCTATTGCCGTGCTATGCACTGTAGGCATGCCTCTGATTTTCTGGACACAGAACTTCTTCTGAAGTGTTTCTATTATTGTTTCATGGCAAAACCACCCCTTTCAAAGACCTGTGCAATTAAAACCCTCTTTTTTTTTCTGCCACTAAAATGAAGGGGAGCATTTCTCCTAACTGCATTGGTACTGCAACTAGCCAATGCATACTTGAATTTGCCCCTTTTGGAGGACAGCATAAGCCAATAAGCAATTAAGACTTGTAAAAAATTAAGACATTTTCTTTCAACCACCTGAGTTGAGTTAATTCTAATTAATAGGCAATGGAAAGTGTAAAACTTGTGTTGAAATCTCTGCAGGGAATTAATTTACCTTGCTAAAGAAAAGGCATCATCCAAAATCCCTGCACGGTCAGCAGCTGAAAAATTCTGTGTGAAAAGAGTGATCAGGAATATATAGATTATTTGTAGAAAAAACCAACCTCTAAAGACCTCTGTAAGAAACCCAACGGACAGGTTAATGTTATGGCACTCACATTTTGGTTGCTGTCCAGAAGAATGCTTAACCAGGCCCAGTTTAAACCATCATAATTCACCCGATAGAATCCAATGTGGTCTGGATTAATGTTCACAAAAGTATTAGGAGATGATGTTATTGTCATTCCGTATAAACAAACAAACAAACAAACAAACAAACAAACAGTGATCTGTTTATGCATCTTACATGATACAGAACTCACTGCAAATTCCTTGACTTGAAAAGTAATATTTGGTTCTAATGAATATAAAAATAAGATCCAAAACTTAATTCTATTTATTTATTTATTTAAATGGCTGTGAGTAAAGATGAGTTATCATAAACTTTAATGAATGCCACCACCTGTCTTGGAATAGTGGATTTTGGTAATTACTTGAGCCAGCTAGTTCATTAAATTTAAAATGGAGATCATTGTGATTAGAGTGAGGATAGTGAAAATTAGTGTCACTGTAAAAAGTAGAAAATGGCAAAGAAACAGTTCTTGCAAATATCTCTTTTAAAAGGTTTTTCACCCTCATGATTACTATTAAAGTTCTCATATTTTCCCCTCAATTAGTTTCATTTTTTTCAGTTTATTTCATTTAACTTTTTAAGGGTTTTCTTCCTTACACTCTTCTCTGATTCAATTTTTGTAGCTATAGATAAAGAAATTACAAAATATGCTGAGATTTTATTCAAGCACTCCCGTTTAAGGCATTTCTCATTGAAAATGAAACCTTGAAAAATGTTCCTTTCTCAGAATCATAGAATAGTCAGTGGTCTTCAATCTGTGGTTTAAGGGTGGCTGGAGTTAAAAACACTTTTCTGTTTCGATGACCTATACAAAGCATTTCAAAAGGCATTTTTTCCCCTATAATGACTGTTTGTCTTACTAGCCAAGATTTCTATGAATGCAGAAGTAAGCACCTAATCATGCTTTTGCAGGCTTTGTCAAGTTAATAGCCCCTTGCAGTCCACCGTAATGTCATGTAGAAGTTAAGGAAAATTTCTTTGTGTTAATCTCAGACTTGCACCATAACATAAGACTTTTTTAGTTTGCTTTTGCATGGATACTAGAAGCAACCAGGTAAAAAAAATCAAAACCAAAAACCAGAACAGAAGTTATGCTTTAAATAGGTAACATTCAAAGAAATAAAAGATAAGCTGATTGTGATATTTCTGAAATTGCAACATGAGATGAAATTTAAAAACTCAAATTTGGTAATTTTTTTTTCTTCTCCCCCCCCCTTCCCCCCTTTTGGCCGCTAGAGTTATAGAATGAGAAATTCAGATTTGACTGCATAATAGAACAACCATCAAAAATACTCATGCAGGTATTTGGTATTTCCTCTTTCCTGAAATCAGCATTAGAAAATGTATTTAATCATTTAACTGAAGTCAGATTGCCAGTTTGCCATGCCACAGATGCATTCATCAGCCTCCTATTTCACCTCTTTTCTTAAACTTGACAAAAAGCATTCCTAATTCCCATTGATTTTAGTACTTCATAACTGAGAGTATCTTGAATAGAACTGGGTTTAAACACAGGCTTAAGCGCTTTACTGAATTTGGCCTGAATTGACATAATATGTGCAGAGGGGAAATAAGAATCTTATCGCAGAAATGACTAGTAACTTCAGGACAACAAGCTGTGTGCTGGTTCCAAGATCTGAAAACTGAAAAGCATGAAAGTTAATTCTGTATTTTATTTTTTGTTAAGGGCATTGAAAAGCTTTATCTATTAATTACTCTTAAAAAATAAAGGAAAGTTTACCTGCAGAATCTGATTTGTTGTACAAAGTATAATTTGCTGAATTTCCAAGTCTCCATTTCACTGGTATATTCCATTTGTAACTGAAATTAT